CGTTGGCGTCGGCGTCGTCCGAAGACACATTGGTTTTCGCACTCTAACTTTAGTTTAAGTGAATGGATCTCTTTGAAATTTTACCATAAGGTTCAATACCACAAAAGGAAGGTTGGGATTGATTTTGGGGGTTATGGTACCAACAGTTAAGGAATTAGGGGCCAAAAAGGGGCCAAAAATAAGCATTTTTGTAACTTCCAGACATAACTTGTGTGTTAGTGTATGGATCTCTCTGACATTGTACCACAAGGTTCCATATCACACAGGGAATGCTGGGATTGATTTTGGGGGTAATTGCATCAAAAAATTAGGAATTAGGGGCCAAAAAAGGGGCAAAAAACAAGCATTTTTCTAGTTTCATGACAATAACTTGTGTGTAAGTGTATGGATCTTTCTCAAATTGTACTACAAGGTTCCATATCACAAAGGGAAAGCTGGAATTGAGTTTGGGGGTAATTACCCAAAAAATTTAGGAATAAGGGGCCAAAAAGGGGCCAAAAATAAGCATTTTTCTAGTTTCCAGACAATAACTTGTGTTCAAGTATATGGATCTCTCTGAAATTGTACCACAAGGTTCCATATCACACAGGGAATGCTGGGATTGATTTTGGGTGTAATTGCCTCAAAATATTAGGAATTAGGGGCCAAAAAAGGGGCAAAAAACAAGCATTTTTCTAGTTTCATGACAATAACTTGTGTGTAAGTGTTTGGATATTTCTGAAATTGTACTACAAGGTTCCATATCACAAAGGGAAAGCTGGAATTGAGTTTGGGGGTAATTGCCGAAAACGTTTAGTAATAAGGGGCCAAAAATAAGCATTTTTCTAGTTTCCAGACAATGACTTGTGTTCCAAGCGTATGGATCTCTCTGAAATTGTACTGCAAGGTACCATACCACAAAGGGAAGGCTGGGATTGAGTTTGGGGGTGATGAATCATAAGGGGGTTCATAAAAATTTTGGGGGGGGGGATTTTTTTTTTCCTTTTTTTTTTCTTTTAAAATTTTCCATTTTAAGTTGGTTATTTCTGATTTATATTTAAAAGCAAATAATAATGATATGGTAGGAGATACACACCAAACAGGATGTGTAAATTATTATATAATAAGTATTGTGCAATAGCAAGAAATTTTCAATTGCACAGTATTGCACAATAGCAAGAAATCTTCAATTGCACAGTATTGCGCAATAGCAAGAAATCTTCAATTACACAGTATTGCGCAATAGCAAGAAATATCCAATAGCACAATATTGCGCAATAGCAAGAAATTGTCAATTGTACAGTATTGCGCAATAGCAAGAAATATTCAATTGCACAGTATTGTGCAAAAGAAGATACTTCGTATAAATTGCTTATTTCTTGATCAATTTCAATGGGGTTTTATTCTTGAATTCTTGGGGTTCTTTAATATGCTGAATCTAACCGTGTATTAAGTTTTTGGATTTTGGGCCCCGTTTTTAAATTGGTCCACATTGAGGTCCAAAGGGTCCAAAATTTAACTTTGTTTGATTTCATCAAAAATTGAATTATTGGGGTTCTTTGATATGCCAAATCTAACCGTGTATTTAGATTCTGAATTTTTGGTTCTGTTTTCAAATTGGTCTACATAAAGGTCCAAAGGGTCCAAAATTAAACTTAGTTTGATTTCAACAAAAATTGAATATATGGGGTTCTTTGATATGCTGAATCTAACCATTTATTTAGATTTTTGATTATTGGCCCAGTTTTCAAGTTGGTCCAAATCGGGGTCCAAAATTAAACTTTGTTTGATTTCAACAAAAATTGAATATATGGGGTTCTTTGATATGCTGAATCTAACCATGTATTTAGATTTTTTATTATGGGCCCAGTTTTCAAGTTGGTCCAAATCGGGGTCCAAAATTAAACTTTGTTTGATTTCAACAAAAATTGAATATATGGGGTTCTTTGATATGCTGAATCTAACCATGTATTTAGATTTTTGGTTTTTGGGCCCCGTTATCAACTTTGTCCACATTGAGATCAAAAGGGTCCAAAATTAAACTTTGTTTGATTTCATCAAAAATTGAATTATTGGGGTTCTTTGATATGCTGAATCTAACCATGTATTTAGATTTTTGATTATGGGCCCAATTTTCAAGTTGGTCCAAATCGGGGTCCAAAATTAAACTTTGTTTGATTTCAACAAAAACTGAATATATGGGGTTCTTTGATATGCTGAATCTAACCATGTATTTAGATTTTTGATTATGGGCCCAGTTTTCAAGTTGGTCCAAATCGGGGTCCAAAATTAAACTTTGTTTGATTTCAACAAAAATTGAATATATGGGGTTCTTTAATATGCTGAATCTAACCGTGTATTAAGTTTTTGGATTTTGGGCCCCGTTTTTAAATTGGTCCACATTGAAGTCCAAAGGGTCCAAAATTTAACTTTGTTTGATTTCATCAAAAATTGAATTATTGGGGTTCTTTGATATGCCGAATCTAACCGTGTATTTAGATTCTTAATTTTTGGTTCCGTTTTCAAATTGGTCTACATAAAGGTCCAAAGGGTCCAAAATTAAACTTAGTTTGATTTTAACAAAAATTGAATTTTTAGGGTTCTTTGATATGCTGAATCTAAACATGTATTTAGATTTTTGATTATGGGCCCAGTTTTCAAGTTGGTCCAAATCGGGGTCCAAAATTAAACTTTGTTTGATTTCAACAAAAATTGAATATATGGAGTTCTTTGATATGCTGAATCTAACCATGTATTTAGATTTTTGATTTTTGGGCCCCGTTATCATTTTTGTCCACATTGAGATCAAAAGGGTCCAAAATTAAACTTTGTTTGATTTCATCAAAAATTGAATTCTTGGGGTTCTTTGATTTGCTGAATCTAACCATGTATTTAGATTTTGGATATTGGACCATAATAGGTGAATGTCCAATTTAAAATTTTTAAGTTCTTAGACCACATTCATTCTGTGTCAGAAACCTATGCTGTGTCAAATATTTAATCACAATCCAAATTCAGAGCTGTATCAAGCTTGAATGTTGTGTCCATACTTGCCCCAACTGTTTAGGGTTCGACCTCTGCGGTCGTATCAAGCTGCGCCCTGCGGAGCATTTTATTACGTTTTGAACTTCTTCTAGAGAACCATTGAATGGAATGAAACCAAACATGGCATGAATGTTCCTTATGAGGTGCTGACCAAGTGTTGTTTCTTTGTAGCCGATCCATCATCCAAGATGGCTGCCAGCGGGGGACTTCATTTAACATAGGACCCTATGGGAAATACATACAAATGTCTTCTTTTAGAGAACCACTGAATGGAATGAAACCAAACATAGCATGAATGTTCCTTATGAGGTGCTGACCAGGTGTTGTTACTTTGAAGCCGATCCATCATTCAAGATGGCTGCCAGCGGGGGACTTAGTTTAACATAGGACCCTATGGGAAATACATATAAATGTCTTCTTTTAATGAACCAGGGAATGGAATGAAATAAAACATGGCATAAATGTTCCTTATTAGGTGCTGACCAAGTGTTGTAACTTTGTAGGCTATCTATCATCCAAGATGGCCACCAGCTTGGGATTTCTTTTAACATAGGACCCTATGGACAATGCATACAAATGTCTTCTTCTAGAGAACCACTAAATGGAATGAAACCAAGCATTGCATGAATATTCCTTATGAGGTGCTGACCAAGTGTTGTTACTATGTAGCTGATCCTTCATCCAAGATGGCCGCCAGCTGGGGACTTCTTTTAGCACAGGACCCTATGGACAATACATACAAATGTCTTCTTTAAGAGAACCACTGAATGGAATAAAACCAAACATGGCATGAATGTTTCTTATGAGGTGCTGACCAAGTGTTGTTACTTTGAAGCCGATCCATCATCTAAGATGGCCCCCATAGAGGGATTTAGTTTAACATAGGACCCTATGGGAAATACATACAAATGTCTTCTTTTAGAGGACCACTAAATGGAATAGATGAAGACTGCATGACTACCATGTACTTCAATTACAATGAAAACACCCTGTACCGCAATGTAGAAGCCCAAATTCGGGTTATAACCTTAGGTAAAATGTTTACGGTAACATTATATAAAGTTTACTATAACCAAGGAAAATTCCACTGGATTTTTAGCTGAAAGGATCCGCTGGATACCGGATAACTATTGTACGCCGGATAACTCTTATCCGCTGGATACAGAATCTATATAAATAGGGTGTTAATATTAATCCACCATTCTGCCTCTGAGGATGGTCAGTGAAGGACCGAAACCGGTCAGGCTATGGATCATCACCAGGCGCTGTTAATTGTGTGTTTTTGCATGTACTATATTTTATTTGTTGTTTGTTCATGTCTATCATATTTTTTTTGTTAATTGTTTTGTTATAAATCAAGCTTCTGCTTTTCTTGTTTGAATTGTTTCATATTATGTCTTGTTCAGGCCTTTTATGGCTGACTATATTGTTTTGATTATTCTGATTGTTGAAGGCAGTATGGTGACCTTTAGTTGCTTCAATCCATATCGTTTGGACTTTGGTGGATATTTGTCTCATTGGCAATCATCCCACTTGTCTTTATATTTATATTATTTCTTTGATGCTAGTTGGATATTTAAAATAGTAATAGAATTACACGGGTAAATGTTTACATTGAATTTTATAGTATATTACTTTTGCTTTCTTTTCAGCACAAACTATATAAAATGAAAACAAAGCCTTGATACTGCACCGTTCACTAAAAATTATTTAAATACAGTAGACTTTCGTGGAAATTATTGTTTCAACCTGTATTAGTTTACTTAAAAGCTGTTAAGAGTCACAAGGTAATGGTAATAGCCACAAGCCAAGGTAAATTAAATGATAAGTTTTTTACATCACAATGTATGTTTGACGAAATTTGTTTTGTTAAATTGAAATACTGATAAACCGTCCTTGGTATAAATGTAGTATAGACAATAGATATTCAGGTGAATAAATGTAATATTCATATAATACTGTTATATATTTTATAGGAAATCCACTTTTTTCAACACATTAACCAAAAGTCAAGCTACTGCAGAAAATTTTCCATTCTGTACAATAGACCCTAACGAGAGTAAGTAATCATGTAGGATAGGTGATTTGTTAAACTTTCCCATATATATGGTTTTAGCTCACCTGGCCCAAAGGGCCAAGTGAGCTTTTCTCATCACTTGGCGTCCGTCGACCGTCGTCGTCGTCCTCGTTAACTTTTTACATTTTGAACTTCTTCTAGAGAACCACTGAATGGAATGAAACCAAACATGGCATGAATGTTCCTTATGAGGTGCTGACCAAGTGTTGTTACTTTTAAGCCGATCCATCATCCAAGATGGCTGCCAGCGGGGGACTTCGTTTAACATAGGACCCTATGAACAATACATACAAATGTCTTCTTTTAGAGAACCACTGAATGGAATGAAACGAAACATGGCATGAATGATCCTTATGCAGTGCTTACCAAGTGTTGTTACTTTGAAGCCAATCCATCATCCAAGATGGCCGTCAGCGGGGGACTTCATTTAACATAGGACCCTATGGACAATACATACAAATGTCTTCTTCAAACATGGCATGAATGTTCCTTATGAGGTGCTGACCAAGTGTTGTTACTTTGAAGCCGATCCATCATCCAAGATGGCCACCAGAGAGGGACTTAGTTTAACATAGGACCCTATGGGAAATACATACAAATGTCTTCTTTTAGAGAACCACTAAATGGAATGAAATAAAACATGGCATGAATGTTCCTTATGAGGTGCTGACCAAGTCTTGTAACTTTGTAGGCGATCAATCATCCAAGATGGCTGCCAGCGGGACTTAGTTTAACATATGACCCTATGGGAAATACATACAAATGTTGTCTTTTAGAGAACCACTAAATGGAATGAAACCAAACATGACATGAATGTTCCTAATGAGGTGCTGACCAAGTGTTGTAACTTTGTAGGCAATCAATCATCCAAGATGGCCACCAGCGGGGATTTAGTTTAACATAGGACCCTATGGGAAATACATACAAATGTTTTCTTTTAGAGAACCACTGAATGGAATGAAACCAAACATGGCATGAATGTTCCTAATTAGGTGCTGGCCTAGTGTTGTTACTTTGTAGCCAATCAATCATCCAAGATGGCTGCCAGCGGGGAACTAAGTTTAACAAAGGACCCTATGGACAATACATACAAATGTCTTCTTTTAGAGAACCACTGAATGGAATGAAACCAAACATGGCATGAATGTTCCTTATGAGGTGCTGACCAAGTGTTGTTACTTTGTAGCCAATCAATCATCCAATATGGCTGCCAGAGGAGAACTTAGTTTAACAAAGGACCCTATATGAAATACATACAAAAGTCTTCTTTTGAGGAACCACAAAATGGAATGAAACCAAACATGGCATGAATGTTCCTTATGAGGTGCTGACCAAGTGTTGTAACTTTGTAGGCGACCAATCATCCAAGATGGCTGCCAGCGGGACTTAGTTTAACATAGGACCCTATGGGAAATACATACAAATGTTTTCTTTTAGAGAACCACTGAATGGAATGAATTCAAACATGGCATGAATGTTGCTTATAAGTTGCTGACCAAGTGTTGTAACTTTGTAGTCAATCAATCATCCAAGATGGCCACCAGCGGGGACTTAGTTTAACATAGGACCCTATGGGAAATACATACAAATGTTTTCTTTTAGAGAACCACTGAATGGAATGAAACCAAACATGGCATGAATGTTCCTAATTAGGTGCTGGCCAAGTGTTGTTACTTTGTAGCCAATCAATCATCCAAGATGGCTGCCAGCAGGGAACTTAGTTTAACAAAGGACCCTATGGACAATACATACAAATGTCTTCTTTTAGAGAACCACTGAATGGAATGAAACCAAACATGGCATGAATGTTTCTTATGAGGTGCTGACCAAGTGTTGTTACTTTGTAGCCAATCAATCATCCAAGATGGCTGCCAGAGGGGAACTAAGTTTAACAAAGGACCCTATGTGAAATACATACAAAAGTCTTCTTTTGAGGAACCACAAAATGGAATGAAACTAAACATGGCATGAATGTTCCTTATGAGGTGCTGACCAAGTGTTGTAACTTTGTAGGCGATCAATCATCCAAGATGGCTGCCAGCGGGGACTTAGTTTAACATAGGACCCTATGGGAAATACATACAAATGTTTTCTTTTAGAGAACCAATGAATGGAATGAAACCAAACATGGCATAAATGTTCCTTATGAGGTGCTGACCAAGGGTTGTAACTTTTTAGGCAATCAATCATCCAAGATGGCCGCGAGCGGGGACTTAGTTTAACATAGGACCCTATGGGAAATACATACAAATGTTTTCTTTTAGAGAACCACTGAATGGAATGAAACCAAACATGGCATGAATGTTCATAATTAGGTGCTGGCCAAGTGTTGTTACTTTGTAGCCAATCAATCATCCAAGATGGCTGCCAGCGGGGAACGTAGTTTAACAAAGGACCCTATGGACAATACATACAAATGTCTTCTTTTAGAGAACCACTGAATGGAATGAAACCAAACATGACATGAATGTTCCTTATGAGGTGCTGACGAAGTATTGTTACTTTGTAGCCAATCAATCATCCAAGATGGCTGCCAGCAGGGAACTTATTTTAACACAACCTTATGTGAAATACATACAAAAGTCTTCTTTTGAGGAACCACTTAATGGAAACCAAACATGGCATGAATGTTCCTTATGAGGTGCTGACCAAGTGTTGTAACTTTGTAGGCGATCAATCATCCAAGATGGCTGCCAGCGGGACTTAGTTTAACATATGACCCTATGGGAAATACATACAAATGTTTTCTTTTAGAGAACCACTGAATGGAATGAAACCAAACATGGCATGAATGTTCCTTATGAGGTGCTGACCAAGTGTTGTTATTTTGGGGGCGATCCATCAACCAAGATGGCTGCCAACAGGGGACTTAGTTTTACAAAGGACCCTATGGGAAATATATAAAAATTTCTTCTTCTAGAAAACCGCCTTAATGGATTGAAACCAAACATGGTATGAATGTTTCTTTTGAGTTGCTGACCAAGTGTTGTTACTTTGTAGCTGATTTGTCATCCAAGATGGCTGCCAGCAGGGGGAGTAAGTTTAACATAGGACCCAAGGGAAATACATACAAATGTTTCTTTTAGAGAACTATTTAATAGAATGAAACCAAACATGGCAAGAATGTTCCTAATGAGGTGCTGACCAAGTGTTGTTACTTTGTAGCCGAACCATCATCCAAGATTGCCGCCAGCAGGGGACTTAATTTAACATAAGACCCTATGGGAAATACATACAAATGCTTCTTCTAGAGGAGCACTGAATGGGATGAAACCAAACATGGCATAAATGTTCCTTATGAGGTGCTGATGAAGACCTTAATACATGTATCTTTATAGATTGAGATATACTATAAACTGCAAAAATATCTAGAAAAGAAGATCTACACATAAGTCAACATGAGCAAAATTGTCAATTGACATCTTGTTGGAGTTATTGTCCTTATAAAGTCATATTCTACAATTTCAATGAATTTATTGGTAATTTCTGTAAACTTTACAAAAGTCTTCTGCTTTTGATTAAATTACGGGGCCAATATTAAACCGAATTTAGCCTCAATCATTATTAGGGTATCTGTTATGATTTTAATCTATTTTTACATGATTTCCAAAACCAAAGTAGAATCAGGTGAGCAACACAGGCTCTAGAGAGCCTCTAGTTTTTTCTGCCATGGTGAATTTTAAGCTAATTTTCTTACAAGAGTTCTGGGAACCGGCAAGCATAAGTTGAGAGAAACTTGCATTGACACCATAGGAAAAAAAAGACAACGAAAAGAAAAACAAGTTCACAAAACTCTTACATAGAAAACCAAAGAATGAGCAACCAAACCAATAACTGAGAGTGATCACATGTGCTCCAGAATGGTCAACATCTGCTCCACTAGTCACACCTGTCATGTAATTCTTGAAATACATTGATGAGTCATATCCAGTAATTTAGAGCCTTACAATGGTAGATTGATAAATGTCTCTTGCCTAACACTAAGAAATCACCAAAAACAAAAACAATGGTACATGTAAATTCATGAACTTGCTCAAAACAAAACTAGGAGGCGCTCTGGAAGAGTAAGCAGATCCTGCTCCACTAGTGGCACCTGTTGTGTTATTCATGGTAAGTACAAATTCTGTAATGAGTCTCATTGGGTGATGTTACAATCAAAGATAGAGGACAGGAATGTGGACAAGACTATTGGAACATATCAATTGTCATCTCTTACACAGATAATACATAACTGTCAACCAACTTGTCATGTCTCTGATCAATTTTTATAAGACCGAAAAAAAAATTTTTGTGGTCGTATATTGGTATGACGTTGGCGTCGTCGTCGTCGTCGTCGTCGTCCGGCGTCGTCCGAAGACACATTGGTTTTCGCACTCTAACTTTAGTTTAAGTGAATGGATCTTTATGAAATTTTACCACAAGGTTCAATACCACAAAAGGAAGGTTGGGATTGATTTTGGGGGTTATGGTAATAACAGTAAAGGAATTAGGGGCCAAAAAGGGGCCAAAAATAAGCATTTTTGTAACTTCCAGACATAACTTGTGTGTTAGTGTATGGTTCTCTCTGACATTGTACCACAAGGTTCCATATCACTAAAGGAATGCTGGGATTGATTTTGGGGGTAATTGCCTCCAAATTTTAGGAATTAGGGGCCAAAAAAGGGGCAAAAAACAAGCATTTTTCTAGTTTCATGACAATAACTTGTGTGTAAGTGTATGGATCTTTCTGAAATTGTACTACAAGGTTCCATATCACAAAGGGAAAGCTGGGTTTGAGTTTGGGGGTAATTGCCCTAAACGTTTAGGAATTTGGGGCCAAAAAGGGGCCAAAAAACACATTTTTTTCTAGTTTCCAGACAATAACTTGTGTTCAAGTGTATGGATCTCTCTGAAATTGTACTGCAAGGTACCATACCACAAAGGGAAGGCTGGGATTGAGTTTGGGGGTGATGAATCATAATGGGGGTTCAAAAAATTTGGGGGGGGGATTTATTTTTTTTTCCTTTTTTTTCTTTTTTTCCTTTTTTGTTTCTTTTAAAATTTTCCATTTTAAGTTGGTTATTTCTGATTTATATTTAAAATCAAATAATAATGATATGGTAGGAGATACACACCAAACAGGATGTGTAAATTATTATATAATAAGTATTGTGCAATAGCAAGAAATTTTCAATTGCACAGTATTGCGCAATAGCAAGAAATCTTCAATTGCACAGTATTGCGCAATAGCAAGAAATATCCAATAGCACAATATTGCGCAATAGCAAGAAATTTTCAATTGTACAGTATTGCGCAATAGCAAGAAATATTTAATAGCACAGGATTGTGCAAAAGAAGATACTTCCTATAAATTGCTTATTTCTTGACCAATTTCAATGGGGTTTTATTCTTGATTTCATGGGGTTCTTTAATATTTTTGGTTTTTGGATTTTGAGCCCCGTTTTTAAATTGGTCCACATTGAGGTCCAAAGGGTCCAAAATTAAACTTTGTTTGATTTCATCAAAAATTGAATTATTGGGGTTCTTTGATATGCCGAATCTAACTGTGTATTTAGATTCTTAATTTTTGGTTCCGTTTTCAAATTGGTCTACATTAAGGTCCAAAGGGTCAAAAATTAAACTTAGTTTGATTTTAACAAAAATTGAATTCTTAGGGTTCTTTGATATGCTGAATCTAAACATGTATTTAGATTTTTGATTATGGGCCCAGTTTTCAAGTTGGTCCAAATCGGGGTCCAAAATTAAACTTTGTTTGATTTCAACAAAAATTGAATATATGGGGTTCTTTGATATGCTGAATCTAACCATGTATTTAGATTTTTGATTTTTGGGCCCCGTTATCAACTTTGTCCACATTGAGGTCAAAAGGGTCCAAAATTAAACTTTGTTTGATTTCATCAAAAAATGAATTCTTGGGGTTCTTTGATATGCTGAATCTAACCATGTATTTAGATTTTGGATATTGGACCATAATAGGTGAATGTCCAATTTAAAATTTTTAAGTTCTTAGACCACATTCAATCTGTGTTAGAAACCTATGCTGTGTCAAATATTTAATCACAATCCAAATCCAAAGCTGTATCAAGCTTGAATGTTGTGTCCATACTTCCCCCAACTGTTCAGGGTTCGACCTCTGCGGTCGTATCAAGCTGCGCCCTGCGGAGCATTTTATTAAAGGGATGACTTCAACATTACCACTTGGAACTATTGGTTCAAAAGCTTCCTTGTAAGCAGCAAGCCTCTATAAAGGAAATCATAATAGGAAGGGCAACCTCTGAAATGTTTTATCAACTAGAAGATATAGACTCCATTTGCAGGCATTGCTGGCATGTTGCTACACAGAAATAAAAGGTTAAATAATGGAAATCTGAAATTATCTCTTTTGTTGTTAAGTTTTGTTCTCAACCGACCCTCATTGTTGATTTCTAGATGTAAGTCAAGATATGAGGCAGACTTAACTGTATCTGTTGTATCCTATATTTCAAGTTCGACAGGAAAGATATTCAACACAGTCACTAAGCTTTGAATTATTTAGTGAGAATACATTATCTTTATAGCAGAATGTGAAGTTAAGGATGATGCTTGCTCAATAAAATGAGGAATAAAGGAACAAGTTGAGGAGCACAGTTGGTTCCCACAGGAATGGTGCTTGTTTGTTGAAATACATGTCCTCCAACTGTAACAAATATGTTGAAAATAAAAAGAGCAAGCATCTTGATGATATCAGTCTCAGAGAATTTTTTGTTAAAATCAAGTTTTAAAAAAAAAGTTGACTCCTATTTTATTCTGGGGCAATTTTAATAATTAGATTTATTTTAAAAAGATTATAGTACCTATGTAAATGATATATGTAAGCGTTAATGTTCAAACCATCTGCAGTGAACAGAATTAGAAATAAGAAATAAAAAATCTTCCTGTCTACAGAAATTTTTGTCACATTAGTAGATGAGATATGATAAGGAAATTATTTGTCAATTGTGTAATGAAGTGTAAACCAGTGCATTATAATATTCTTGAATAACTTGTTTAATTTAACATAATTTCAGGCAGAGTTCCAGTTCCAGATGCAAGATTTGACTATCTCTGTGATCACTATAAACCAGCCAGGTAATTTCTAAGTCCATTGAAATGGAAGTGAGATGTTGATTCTGTTCAGTATGCAAGCTTTGAAAGAATTGCAAATTATTTCATCTACTTTCTTATTATGCTTCCAACCCCCCCTTGCTTGATTGGAATGAAACTAATACAGATGAAAGATATTGGGAAGAAGTTTATACTTTATCTATTTTGGATTCAAAAAGATCAATATACAAGATCACTGTTACTGAAAATAGTTACTTTTGTGTATAGTTGGTTTCCTTGAAATGTTACATTTTTTGTGGAGCCTGCAATATTTTGTCCTGGAAGCAAGACATTGGAATGATCCGAATCCTATGATCCTTCTTCAGCATCATCCACATTTAGATTCAATCTGTTGTACATATAGATAATCATAGAGTCTAAGGTTAAAAATTTTCAGACATCAATAACTTTGTTGAGAAAATTTGACAGAAACTTTTTATGATCAAAATACAGTATCCAGAGCAAAATTTAGAAAATATTTTATTCCAAGTTTTTTTTGTCATGTGAATTTCTCACTCGTTATGAGTAGTGGGATAACTATATTTGGTATATGGGTTCCTTGCAAAATCTTCCTGTCGTCAGACAGGTTTCACATGACCTCGAGCTCATTTCATGGATCAGTGATCAAGGTTAAAGTTACATTATTTGGTCCATTTCTCAGATACTGTAAGCAGAAGGTCAACTTTATTTGATGTATGGAATAATTGTACGTTGTACATGTCAGTCTGGCAGGTTTCATCTGACATTGTCCTCACATGTTCATTGGTCAATGTTAAGTTTTATGTTTTGGTCTGTTTTTATTATACTATAAGCAATAGGCCAACTATATTTGGTGTATGGAATGATTGTAAGGTGTATATATCTGTCTGGCAGGTATCATCTGTCCTTGACCTCATTTTCATAGTTCATTGGTCAATATTACATTTTCATGGTTTGGTCTGTATTGTGTATACTTTAAGCAATAGGTCAACTATATTTGGTGTATGGAATGTTTGTAATTGTTTGGCTTGGTTTATCTGACCTACCTCATTATTTTATTGATCATTGATAATCTTAAGTTTATGTGATTCTTCTTGTATACTTTATCTTTAGGACAATCAATATCAAATCAATAATGGTTAGTAAAGCAGGAGAGACAATTCAGCATGTGCATTCTTGTTCTGAATGTTGTGACTCTTATTGAAGGTATTGGTAACAATTTAGATACCTGACTCATGTGAGGTTCAGGAAGTATCTGTTGGCAGTATCATCTTTCCACTTGTTTTGTTTTGATATATTGTTAATTACTGGTATGCTGTCAGTGTCTAGTTATATATTCTAAAATGTCAGATGTAATTTACCACATGTTGATGTCACCTGGGACTATTATACTAACGGGACTGGAAACCGTTACACTTATTAGTGTAATAATATCAACATCACGGTCTTTAGAACAAGACTTTACCGGCGCTATTTATCGATACGCCATATTGTTTTGACAGTGACAGCGTGCCTTGATCTTATAATTTCGGTAATTTGTTTTTTTATTTATAGTTATTTGAAATGATAATCCTTAATATAAACATGATTACTATAATGATAAAAGATATCTCGATCTTTGACAGTTGTTATTAATTACCAAATCCCGTCTTAAGTGTAAAAATGACACATAAAGATTGAAATTTTCAGGATGAAAATAGCGTGGGGACGATGTGGAAAAAAGTATATGATTCATAAAATTTCTTATTACTGTTGATTGAAAAGAGATACGCAAGTTCCGTTTGTTGTAAAATCATATTTATAGGTTATAGTTTGGATTTGCCTATTTTTATTGTCACTTTTTAAAATAAAAAGTGGAATATAAATCTCTTTCTCATTACAACCTGAACCCACATGCACGGCTCAAATAAATTATACTGTTCCTATAAAATTACCTACTCCTTTTTATGTGTGCAATATTTTTATTATAATCAGGGTTAATTTTGCTTAGTAATGGTCTTCTGGTGGCATTAGCATATGACTTCATGAAAACATATACACTAGGTTCCATAATTAGAACTACAAAAGTAGGCCCTTTCACAGCCATATTGAAATTTTGGTGTAAACACGAAGTTCACAAAAGTTCAAAACAATGTGGCTATATTTTTATGAGACCTGGGTAACTTTTGTTATATGAATTAATTATGAACTGAAATTGTAAACACTGTTTTTATTGCACACTTATTGTTTTTATCAGGATTAATTATGATCTGTTAACCTTTGACACGTTGTTTTCTTAGCGGTCAAGTAAAGCGCCGGCATTTCGACTTTATCTGGTTTATTTTCAACACTAATATATTGACTACTTATTAATAATTTTTTGTAAACAATATATATTTTTTGCATTTAAACTAATTAATTTAATAATTATCTTTTTTATTTCAAATCCACCGATATTAACAGTATTATATATATGCTGACTTGTTTGCCGAAATCTATTGTTTACATTCATGTACCGAATGCTAATTTACTACGTGACATGATAAGCTGTCAATCAAAACAAAAAATTAATAATCCGCTATGGGGGCAATGAAATCTCAACAGATCGATCAGTTTCCAGTCCCGTTAGTATAATAGTCCCAGATGTCACTACCAAATAACAGTAAGCTCCATTTTAGTTTTGACAATTTTCAAGTTAGTTGATACAGAGTAATGGGACTTTAACGTTTTCATATGTATCACAATTTATGTAATTTGAGTATGCTTCCATTAATCTGGATGAAATCTTTAGACCAGGCTATTATAAAATTAAATTATGTTTTGATTTTGATGATTTTTCGAAATTGTCAAAAACTTCACTGTCCAGATTTTTTATGGTGAAGTTTAGTATGAGGCACACTATCTAGAAAGACAAAGTGGTTTAACAGTTAACCCCACCTCATTTTGTGCCAGTATCAAGCCAGGCTTTGTTTTTGTCTTTGTTTCAAGGATCTGGAAATTATTTCATACAGTTGAAAATGATATGAAAGTGGGGGGTTCTCTTTTTCAAACTGTCAAATGCATACTAGAAGTCACTGCATCAAAGAACTTGTATTGACAGATTCACAGAATTTACTTCATAAAATTTCTTATAGGGTTTTGTCGCAAAATGAGCGACATAGGGATAACAATCCAGCAGCGACTGCATAAACTATTTGTATAAAACCTTATATTTCAGAAGGTAAAAGACCAGGATGCTTCTGTATAAAGATGCCTTATTTTACGAAGTTGCAGTCTATCATGACTCATATGTCCATTGTTCTTGACCACAATTTCATGCTTTAGCGACTGCTTGTAAAAAATTCAGAGTTTTTTTGTCATGTGAAATACTTAATTATTATAAGTAATAGAATAACTATATTTGGTATATGGGATGCGGGCAAGGTCTACATGTTTGTCAGACAGCCTGACCTCAGTCTCATTTTATGGATCAGTGATCAAGGTTAAGTTTTCATGGTTAAGTCCGTATCCCAGATTCTTTAAGCCATAGTTCAACTATATTTAGTGTTTGGAATGATTGTAAGCCAATAAAGGGTATTTACTCCAATAACGACTCGACTGAAGATTTCCTTTATTGTTGCCAATATGTAGATCTTGTCTTACTGATCAACATTTACTAAATAAAGTTGTTATCGTTCTGTTATAGTTTTCAAGATAATAGGCAAAAATGCATAAAGAAGTTGTCTTATAGTTTTGATGTCAATATGTAGATCTCATCATTCTGAACATTTTTGTTCTGTCAGATTTTCTCTATCTATAATGGTTTTCAAGAAAATGTTTGTCAGCAGGCAGGGTCATCAGACATTTTCTTTAAACATTAGATACCCTATTGATGATTGTGGCCAAATTTGGTTAAATTTGGCCCAGTAGTTTCAGAGGAGATGATCTTTGTAAAAGATAATGAATTATGGACAACTAAGGACGACTATGGATGCAAAGTGAGCTCAAAATGATCATCAATAACTATATCATCTACAAAAATGCCACATATTAAGATTTGAAAATAAGCTAATATCAGGAAAGTCAGGAGCCTGTAATTCAGTGGTTGTTGTTTGTTGCTGTATATCATATTTGTGTTTCATTCATTATTTTGTACATAAATCAGGCCGTTATTTTTCTCGTTTGAATTTTTTTACATTTGTCATTTTGGGGCCTTTTATAGCTGACTATGCGGTATGGGTTTTACTCATTGTTGAAGGCCGTACAGTGACCTATAGTTGTTAATTTCTGTGTCATTTGATCTGTTGTGGAGAGTCTCATTAGCAATCATACCACATCTTCTTATTTTTATAATAGAACTGATTGCAATTAAGGTAAAAATGGCATATTTTTACCACGTGATTCTGGCCCTTAGGAGCCTCTTGTTTGAAATCTCCTTTGGTAAATAGAACAGAAGTATAAATACACAATATTGTTATTATACTGATTGCATTGTTATTGATTATGGAATGCTAATTGCTGAAATAACAGTTAGCGTGTATTGATATTTTGAGATGGACGTGTTTGATCCTAAGGTGTTCCTTTCTTTGTTTTATTTTAAGCACTAACTTTTTGCATTACAGCAAGGTTCCAGCATTTCTAAATGTTGTTGACATTGCTGGACTTGTGAAAGGAGCACATGAAGGAAAAGGATTAGGGAATGCCTTTCTGTCAAATATTAATGCCTGTGATGCAATTTTTCATGTCATCAGTAAGTATAAATCTTAAAATCTTATAACTAATATCATTGCTAGGAGATGTGCCAGTAATGTAGAAAGCAATGTATGAAATAAAAAAAGGGCATGCAATAAGAGTAATTTTCTGGCAAAAGCAAAAACCCGAAATTTGTTTATTTTTCGTAAGAATGTAATTTGCCAATAATAGAAAGTTAAATGATACTTCTGGTGAAATAGTTTTTAGATCTGACACAAGTACTGTGTATGAAATATTTGGTTTTGAGAGTCAACAAACAATAAAATAATTTTTGAGCAATATTAGATCAATACCAAAGGGTTATTAATATCTTTGTCATTTAGTCTTTATGGACAGTTGTCACATTGGCAATCATATAGAAATAAGGAGATGAGACAACTATCCACCATAGTTCAAATAAAGTGGAGGTAAGCAATTATAGGCAACCGTACGGCCTTCAACAATGAAAAAAATCCATACCATATAGTCAGCTATAAAAGGCCCCGACATGAAAAATATGAAACAATTCAATTGAGAAAACTAACAGTTTAATTTATGACGAAACAATTTATGAAAAAAAAATACGACCGACATGAACCAACCTTTTTTTTTCATTTTGATGTATACACAATGAACTACACACAATTATTAAGATTCTGAAACAGTGAATTGCTGAAGGTTGTGTAGACATTCTCTTTATTGTCACAGACCTCAATAGCAGAGTGGTCTAAGTAGTCCAACTGCTGTATCACTAAACTGTAACACAGGTTGTGAGTTCGAGTCCTACACTTGGCAAGCGCCTTCGTGTCCAATCTTAATTAACCACCGGTAGGTTTGTCAATTTTTGTCTCGCCTGCGATGAAAGTCGCAGTATGCGAGACAGGTATTGCTATCCGGCGGTGGTGGCGGCGGTGTAAACTATTTGTATAAAGCTTTATATTTCAGAAGGTAGAAGACCTGTATGCTTCATATCTTGTATGTAGATACCTTATGTTACGAAGTTTCCGTCAATCATATGTCCATTGTCCTTGACCTCATTTTTATGGTTCAGCGACTGCTTGAAAAAAATTTTTTGAGTTTTTTTGTCATGTGAATTTCTCACTTATTATGAGTAATAGGATAACTATATTTGGTATATGGGTTCCTTGCAATGTCTACATGTCTGTCATACAGAGTTCACTTGATCTCGACCTCATTTCATGGATCAGTGATCAAGGTTAAAGTTACATGATTAGCCCTTTCATACCGAATGTATCCTTTTGGCACCTTGGTGCGCATGCCGAATGTATCCTTTTGGCACACCGGTGTAGATGCTGAATGTATCCTTAATGATACATAAATTTCTATTTTTAGTCAGTCACAGTGCAAACAGAAAAAATAACGTTATGACGGGTTTCTTGACCCAGTTGATACATAAATATTATGATGAACACCAAATGCATTCAATATATTAGTATCGGGCATAAAAACGCTGTCAAAAATTGTTGAGAGAAAAAAACTCGTGAAAAACAAAATGGCGGAATCAAAAACAATCGCAGTCATGAGTTTCATTTCCAGTTGAAACATTTAGAAAACTTAACCTGCGGTCATGAAAGTTGTTGAACTTGTACACAAGTAGTGTATGTACGTATATATTTTGGATTTGTGAGAAGGATATTTGTGAAAAAACCTGAAATTGAGACTTTGATTGTCGTCAGCAGGTGCACGACTGTAACTTTTTATTTCTCGCTGCCGTTTGACAGTCAACCTTTCATTACCGAATGGATCAGAAATTTTTGCTGTCGTTTTAGGCACTCTTGGGAGGCTGTGGTGCTACATGTTTTTATTTCTTTTCATTGAAAAGCAACTTGGCAGTATGAAGGTCGAGAAAACGAAAGTCCACTTTCATTTAAAATAGAACCGGATATTGACAAAATTGACAGCTGAGTCTATAAATAGTGCAGTTCATAAAAACACTTGTTGTTACATCTCAGTGCTATATTATTTAACAGAAAAATGGTTTTGAAAGATGAGACAATATGCTTCAATCTTATTCGAATTTTAATCGAGTATACATTATTTTCCATGATTTATCTCAGCTAACAGAGGTTTTTATACGACCGCAAAAAAATTTTGTGGTCGTATATTGATATGACGTTGGCGTCGTCGTCGTCGTCGTCCGGTGTCGTCGTCCGAATACATATTGGTTTTCGCACTCTAACTTTAGTTTAAGTGAATGGATCTTTTTGAAATTTGACCATAAGGTTAAATACCACAAAAGGAAGGTTGGGATTGATTTTGGGGGTTATGGTACCAACAGTTAAGGAATTAGGGGCCAAAAAGGGGCCAAAAATGAGCATTTTCTAGTTTCCAGACAATAACTGTGGAACGGTGTATGGATCTCTCTGAAATTATACTACAAGTTTCCATACCACAAAGGGATGGTTAGGATTTGCTTTGGGGGGTTATGGCTCAAACCGTTTAGGAATTAGGGGCAAAAAAGGGGGAAAAACAAGGTTGTCCTGGTTAATGGACAAATACTTTAGTACAAAACATAATTTAAAGCAGTGTAAGGGAGATAAATCAAATACATCATTGAAATTATCTCCCTTACACTGCTTTTAAATTATGTATAAAGTAATGGTTAATGAACAATAAAGATAATCTAAAACAGTGTAAGGGAGGTAATCCAAATACAACGTTTTGGTTACTTCCCTTACACTGCTTTTAAATTATGTTTAAAGAAATGCATATTTATAAAGGAAGACCAGTAAAAATATCTGCAAATGTTTTCATCTTTTTTTTTTACAAAAAAATCCATATGAAAGATTTGACACTATATTTTTATTAATTCTATTATAAAATAGATTTAAGTTAGCACTATGGTAAATTTAAATGGGTAATTATGGTTGCCAACTCCATTGGAAATTTGAATTGAGATTATGACCATATCTTGAGGGAAAGAATTTTTTTGGGGGAAAAAGGGGGGGGGGGATAAAAAGAAATTGTGGGGGGCCAATTTTTTCTCATTTCAGATTTCAGAAATTAAAAAGAATTATTCTTCAAATATTATTTTTTTTTCAAATTTCAAATATTGAAAAATTTCAAGAAGTAATCTTTAATTGCACAGTATGGTGCATTAGATTTGTAAAATCTTTGATCACATTTATTTATTTGTTATGCTGAATCTAACAGTGTATTTAGATTTTTAATTTTGGGTCCAGTTTTCAAATTGGTCTACATTAAATTCCAAAGGGTCCAAAATTAAACTTTGTTTGATTTTAGCAAAAATTGAATATATGAGGTTCTTTGATATGCTGAATCTAAACATGTATTTAGATTTTTGATTTTTGGCCCAGTTTTCAAGTTGGTCCAAATTGGGGTCCAAAATTAAACTTTGTTTGATTTCAACAAAAATTGAATATATGGGGTTCTTTGATATGCTGAATCTAACCATGTATTTAGATTTTTTATTTGTGGACCCCGTTATCTAATTGGTTCATATTGAGGTCAAAAGGGTCCAAAATTAAACTTTGTTTGATTTCATCTAAAATTGAATTATTGGGGTTCTTTGATATTCCAAATCTAACCGTGTATTTAGGTTTTTAATTTTGGGTCCTGTTTTTTAAATTGGTCTACATTGAGGTCCAAAGGGTCCAAAATTAAACTTAGTTTGATTTTAACAAAAATTGAATTCTTGGGGTTCTTTGATTTGCTGAATCTAAACATGTGTTTAGATTTTTGATTATGGGCCCAGTTTTCAAGTTGGTCCAAGATAGGGTCCAGTATTTAAACTTTGTTTGATTTCAACAAAAATTGAATATATGGGGTTCTTTGATATGCTGAATCTAAACATGTATTTAGATTTTTATACGACAGCAAAAAAATTTTTGTGGTCGTATATTGGTATGACGTTGGCGTCGTTGTCGTCCGGCGTCGTCGTCGTCGTCGTCTGGCGTCGTCCGAAGACACATTGGTTTTCACACTCTAACTTTAGTTTAAGTGAATGGATCTTTATGAAATTTTACCACAAGGTTCAATACCACAAAAGGAAGGTTGGGATTGATTTTGGGGGTTATGGTAATAACAGTAAAGGAATTAGGGGCCAAAAAGGGGCCAAAAATAAGCATTTTTGTAACTTCCTGACATAACTTGTGTGTTAGTGTATGGATCTCTCTGACATTGTACCACAAGGTTCCATATCACTAAAGGAATGCTGGGATTGATTTTGGGGGTAATTGCCTCCAAATTTTAGGAATTAGGGGCCAAAAAAGGGGCAAAAAACAAGCATTTTTCTAGTTTCATGACAATAACTTGTGTGTAAGTGTATGGATCTTTCTGAAATTGTACTACAAGGTTCCATATCACAAAGGGAAAGCTGGGTTTGAGTTTGGGGGTAATTGCCCTAAACGTTTAGGAATTTGGGGCCAAAAAGGGGCCAAAAAACACTTTTTTTTCTAGTTTCCAGACAATAACTTGTGTTCAAGTGTATGGATCTCTCTGAAATTGTACTGCAAGGTACCATACCACAAAGGGAAGGCTGGGATTGAGTTTGGGGGTGATGAATCATAATGGGGGTTCAAAAAATTTTGGGGGGGGATTTATTTTTTTTTTCCTTTTTTTTCTTTTTTTCCTTTATGTTTCTTTTAAAATTTTCCATTTTAAGTTGGTTATTTCTGATTTATATTTAAAAGCAAATAATAATGATATGGTAGGAGATACACACCAAACAGGATGTGTAAATTATTATATAATAAGTATTGTGCAATAGCAAGAAATTTTCAATTGCACAGTATTGCACAATAGCAAGAAATCTTCAATTGCACAGTATTGCGCAATAGCAAGAAATCTTCAATTGCACAGTATTGCGCAATAGCAAGAAATATCCAATAGCACAATATTGCGCAATAGCAAGAAATTGTCAATTGTACAGTACTGCGCAATAGCAAGAAATATTTAATAGCACAGGATTGTGCAAAAGAAGATACTTCCTATAAATTGCTTATTTCTTGACCAATTTCAATGGGGTTTTATTCTTGA